AAAACAAGATAATAAAGTGTTCGGGATATAGTGAAAATGATTCTTTTATTCTTTACTTCTCTGATAATGGATATGGCATTGAACAAGGAAATGAAGAAAAAATCTTCGACATATATTACACCACGACTGCCGAACAAGGAGGAGCAGGATTAGGGCTATTTATTGCCAAGACAAGAATAGAAGCATTGAAAGGAAATATTGAAGTCGTCAAGAGCGAGTTTGCTCGTGTTGGAGCCACATTTAAGATTATGCTTCCATTTAGGAGAGAAGAACAATTATGAATTCAATGCCGACAAAAGTAGTTGTTATTCACGATGACCTTAAAGATAATGATCCGTTGCTTGTAGAATTGCGCGAAAAATATGGAAAAGAAAATGTTATCTTCAAAAAGAAGTCGCAAGAAGGGCTTGATTATGTGTTAAATAATCTTTCGCAAAAGATAATAGTTATTCTTGACCTTAATTTTAAGGCTAATGAGAAGGGCGGAGTAGAAGTTTTTGAAGAAATAAGAGAAAAAACATCACTAATTTACATAATTATCTGGACGGCAAGTAACTTAAGCGATGTCAAGCCAGAAAATCTAGTTAAATTCATAAATAATGACGCTTTGGCTTTTGTTTATAGCACAGAGGATTACACAAAAATCTTGCAGTTGGTAGAAAAGGCGGCTCATAAGTTTGATGTTATGGTAGCAAGCGTGATTGAGCAATGGCTAACTTCTCGTCCTGATGAAGAAAAAGATAAGCCTTACATAATGTCTAGTGATGGGAAAAGCTACACTTTATCGGAGATTTTAACGGAAATCAGAAAAGAATCTTCTTTCGGAAAAGAAGTAGAAAAGAACATTTTACTACTGGCAATTGATTTATTAACTCGGGGGAAAGAGAAACTCAATGGTTAATATTAATATCGCTTTTGATAATGAGGATTTGAAATTGGGAGCTTACTTTGAGAAAAGTAAAGAGGATTTAGCAGATTTTTTAGCTGATAATCACGATAACTATTCAATCCACGAAATGAATTCAAAGCTCTGCAATGAGGTTTATATTGAAACTCGATTACTGCAAATAAACGCATTGAATTTTTTATTTGTTGCGTATTCTCACGGAAACGAGAATAGCCTAGTAGCTAAACAGGCTTCCTATGTTGAAACACAAAAAAATACAAAATTATTTATCAACTCATTCTTTTATACAACAGCGTGTGCTACTGGAAAGAACTTAGGCGACGATTTAATTGCAAATGGATGTTTAGCGTTTATTGGTTATAAGACTGACGTTGAAGTATTTCTTAATCAAAATCAAAAAATATCAATAGATTGTGATAATCAAGGAATCAAGATGTTTATTTTAGGAAAAAGCATTGGTGAAGCCTTTGACTCAATGAAGGATTATTATACTCAGCAAATAGACAGATTGTATCAATTTGGCGACATTCTTAGTGCCTCATACTTAGTCGCTAACAGAGAAGCACTCATTCTTTTAGGAAATTGCAACTTAAATATTCAAAACTTTATTAATAACTAAAAAAGCATCTTCACGATGCTTTTTTTGATTTAATGGACCCACATTCGAGACTTACCCCAAAAACCTTCTGATTACAAATCAATTCAACTTTGTGCGCGTATGTGTATTTGAATGTGTATCTAAACTAAAACGGACACTCAATGAGTGTCCGTAAGTTATTGAAAATAATGGAGCCATCCATGGGATTCAAACCCACGACCTTTCGATTACGAATCGAATGCTCTATCAGCTGAGCTAGGATGGCAAAATCGGCAACGCCGAATTTAGAAATATAAAATTTGAAAACGCGATTGTCAAGCGGTAACTTTCAACAATCGGTAAACAATTAAAGGCAATCGTTATGATTGCCTTTAATTTATTTTTTGAATACACCCGGCATGATTCGAACA